TACACTGCTGGGTATGTATTGGTGGTTTTCCGGGATCTGCTCCGCGTTATTGGTTTTTGGTTCTTAAAATAACCGTATGTCTGACGAAGTTTCGGTACCATGGTACATGAGATTGTACCGAAACGTCGTCAGACATACGGTTCTTCTAAGAACCAAAAACCGACAACACGTAGCAGATCCCGGAAAACCACCAATACATACCCAGCAAACAATTGACGTCAATATTACGTCATAATCCGGTCATCTATCGACGAATGACGTCACTGAATGACTGAAAAACGACGTTTTAACACGTCACTTTTAGGGCAAAATGTCACAGCCCACTGTCATTTTATGACGTATATTATAATTACGTCAGTGAATGACTGAAACACGACGTGTTTATCACGTCACTTTTAAAGCAAAATATCAGTCCACTAACGTCAAAAAATGACGTTAACTCACGTCATCTTATAACGTCAATTAATTAGTACAATTGCACTTTAATAGGGCCGTACTTGTCACATAACTGGTACCTTTAAGGCGATGACGAAAGATCACCAATAAACGACGTCTGAAACACGTCATCTGACGTCACTCTGTTTGTTGGGTATATATATATATTCAACTAATATATATATTCAAGTAAAGGGAAAAAGTAAATAAAAATGCAAATTTTAATCAAAATCCCTTTAAAAAGTAAATAAATATCACAAACGTAAAATAAAAAATTTTAATGTAAATAAAAAAGCAGATGATCAATTAATCAAGTGATTTTAAAAATAAACTAAATAATCACAAAAGTAAAATCCTAAAGCAAATAAAAATCTTAAAGTAAATAAAAATGCACAGGTTCATAATTTAAATTATTGTGAAATCACAAGAAAAATAATCAATTATGATAGGAAAATGCTTGTTATGATTTAATCTTTATATTTTTCACACTTACCTGAAATCCTTAATAACTTTCATCAATTTATACCTAATACCTATATTATGTTATAACACGTGGACACAACAAACACAATAGAAAAATAAATACAATTCAAACACAACCCGATTGCAGCAATGTAATAAGGTTATATTTTTGTCGAATTACCGCGTTGACCGGTTTACTTACCTCCTGAAAAATATCAATTTCAGACATAATTATTCTTTATTTAAGTATTGCACTTATGCACTTTACTTGTCGAAATGTAGGATTGCTCAATAACAGTAGTAAATAAGACAAAATGCGTTAGGCGAAGCAGGGCCGGCGCAACCTATAGGCAAACTAGGCAAAAGCCTTGGGCGGCAAAGTCAGGGGGCGGCAAAATCAGGGAGCGGAAAAAATCAATTGGGTTAAAATATAAAAATAAATAACGTCTTGAAAATAATTATTGAATTTACTCAGAGGTTATCTATAAAGATTCTTTAAAGAAATTTCACTGATGTCATTCTGTATTAATAGAGATTAAATTGAACTCCCTCTATAAGTTGGAGCGAGAAGACTCTTACCCCTTCTCAGAAGATGTAAATTATTTACTACAAGTGCGCTATAATAAATGGCGCTACTGGTATTTTTATATCGTTTTTAAACATTCCATATGATCTACCAACAAATTCGGAAAACAGCTTTTAAATGCTTAAATATTTAACTCCAATGGCTGTACTACTTGTGTTTAATAATATATTTATAAATATTTTAAAACCAACGATAGTTTTGGACATGCGCAATGTTTAAAAAATGGTAGTGACGACATCTATTATCAAAATTCATACCTTAGGTATAAAACCTAAATTGAGGCCTAAATTAATGAAATGACGATGGTAACAAAGAAAATCTTTTTTAAGGTAACAAAGTGTCGAATTATTAATAATAATTATTATTGTGATAAAGTTTGTGCGGTTTATTTTGTTTCTTGAATAGGGTTAGTTAACCAGTAATTGACCAGTTAAGGAAATTTTCGTGAATAAATTATTATATTTTCCTCTATTTTTAGTTTAAAATAAAATAAAAAATACCATTGAGTTTAATTTTGTTTTAAGATTTGATAACAGCTGACTAAAAAATAAAAAGAGTTTCTATGCCGACGAAAAAAAAATTAATGCACGAAAATTCATGATTTTCCAGTGGTTGACCAATGCCTTGTAAGCAGATATCATTAATAAAACTGTGCCATCTATAAGTTTAGGGGTAAAACACTATGCAAATAATATAAGTTTTTAATTAGGTAATACAGGGACCTTGCTTTTATCATTTAATCGGTAAGTTGGTCAATAACTGGTTGATGGTCAATTACTGGTTAACTGACCCTACTTAAGTATTAATATTAAGTAGATAATTATCTAGTGTGTGGTGCAGTAAGTCGTCAATCAACGGTTAAGTTTATAAATCACGAAATTACCAAATAAAAAGTAAGTTTTTGTTTTTAATTACCCATGAATAATAATTAAGATGGTACAAATTCCATTTGAGTGAAATTTTTACCAAAGTTTGTTAAAACGGGGCACTATACCTACCTATAATAAAAATATCACGATTCATTATTTTTTTCAGATTTCTGCAAAAATATGGCAGACAGGAAAAGACTGTCTGGAAATCAATATCGTAAGAGAAAAGCAGAAAAGGAAAATGCTTTGCATCAACAACAAGGTTCTTTCTTGAAGTATCTGCGTTCTCACACTCCACCTCTCTCTTCAGTTAGTTTGGTTGCAGAATGCAGTGATACTAAGGAAACAATAGAAAATGTGGATTCTGAAAGTAATATTAACGATTCTGATGAAATTCAAGAGAAAGAATGGATGATCCAGACTTCTATAGGTAAATTTTAGTGACCCTGCAATTGCAGTTAACTTGGGAAAATTTTGATCATCACCAACGACAAACTCTTGTAGAAAATGGACCAGTCCAAATTCTGGATTTTCCTTTCCCATTAGACAGCAACCGAAGAAAATTTTGTGTAAGTTATTATTTATAAAAGAAAGTTAATTAATGGTAACAATATCGACAACAAAACAGGATAGACTTGTAGGACTTGCAACCTTATCAATAGAGAAAGATATTGCTCAAACTATAAGTCTAACTGAACTTGTATCTGACTTTTCCAAGTTAAAAGCAAGAAAAAAATTAATGTAAATTTGTAATATAGTAATTCTTAAGTTTAACGCATCTTCATTTATTTATTTATACCTGATATTTTCGAAACAAAAAAACTTATTATATTTTGTCATTACTAGCGCTGATTTGTCCTAAAATATATTTTAATAAGATTATGCAGTTTATGTACTTTAATTAAGTATGAAAAAAGTATAATGAACAAACACAGATTTTTTGCCTAGGGCGGCAGGTTCGCTTGCGCCGGCCCTGAGGCGAAGGGTTTTCAAGAAGTTCTTGACAACTAATAACCTGTTTCTGCAGGGATACAATCATGCACATGGCATATCTAGGAAATTACTTAAATATTTATAACTACCTCAAAAGTAGTAAAATTATGTAAAATTTTTAATATATTTTAACTACTTAAGTAGTTAAAATATATTAAAGTAGTTTAACTATACAAAGTAGTTACGACTAAGTAGTTAACTACTTATTTAACTACTTTTTACGAATATTTTATGAAAACCTAAAATAATCGAGTATAACTACTAGGTAAAAAAAAGTAGTTAAAATACGATTATTTTTAGAAAAAAAGTAGTTAACTACGTAGTTAACTACATTTGTAGTTAACTACTGCCCAGCTCTTATGGTATTACCATTATGGTATAAAAACCTAATCTCAAAGTTTGTATGGTTTCTACGACACTGCAGTGTCACACATGTGTTCACTCGAACAATTGTAATTATGTGTGAATATTTTTGTTTTTTTTTTTTTTTGTTTTTATTGACTTTTAATCTTTTCGATTATTTAGCCAGCTCATTATTATAAATTTTTTGGTTCTTAAAAACAACCACAACACCCAAGGCTGTCACCGGGAATCGAACCCGGTACCGTGGCGCAGATTGATTACCGCTCTGTAGCTTTAACGCACTGCGCCATCCTCGGCCCCATGTGTGAATATTAAGTACCTTTTCAAGTCTACCATAGTATATATATATAGCCAGTTCAGAGTAAAACCGAATATATCTATATATATATATATGGGGCGTGGCCTCGCCTCCCTCCAAGGCGCGTCACAGTAGCTTGTGTGATAAACAACAAGACGAAAGGTCGAGCAGGTAAGACGACGAAAAATTAAATAATAATAATGCAAAAAATCTCATTAGCGATGCAGACTATTTGTTAAGCTACTGTGTCGCGCGTTGGAGGGAGGCGAGGCCACGCCCCATATACAGATATATATATTTACAGTATATATAGAATCTATCTATATTATAGATATATTCGGTTTTTCTCTGAACGGGCTGTATATGGCATAGTAGAAGTTATATTAAAAAAACTGATATGATAAGTAACACTTTATCACCCTGTATATTTTAAACATACGTAATTAGGAAATAGTTATTTGTTTTACAAGTGTTGAAAAGCGACTTTTTCATGCGAGTTTTTAAGTTGCCCACGAGGCCGTTAGGCCGAGTGTGCATTAACACGAGCTTGAAAAAAGCTTTTCTCACAAGTATAACACAATGTTTTTTCTGCGACCCTTTTATTTTTTATTATTTTTAAATACAAAACAAAATAACCTAAAAACTTTTTTGACAGCTGAATGTCAAACGATGCTTTCCGGTTCTTTTCGCACAGACCTGTCACTTTTCACACAGAAATGTCACTTTACATTCGTGTTTTGCCTTGCCAATGAAAAGATTCATTTTCTAAGCAACGATGCCATCATGAAAAGTGACTTTTACATAGTGGTCGTAGAAAAAATATTTATTTAGATTTTCGTCTTATAAATATATTTTGACTTGCTTAATCTGCTCCTAAATTTATGCCACCTTGTATGAGACATAATATGTACCTATAGGGAAATTAAAATGGGATTTCATAAATTGGCACTCAAAAACGTAAATAATTTAATAAATTAAATTAAAATTTACGTACCTGATCAAGCACTAATTTTTTATTCCCAGAAGGTTTTTTAACATTTTTGTCTAATGTTGGCAATTTTTTTTTCGACTTATCTAATTTTTTTTTCGGTTTTTCAATCTCTTCTTTTATTGTTTCCAAGTCCTTAACCAGGATCTCTTCTTCATCTTGTAACTCATACATTTTTGATTCAGAAGAACGTTTTAATTCTATTATAGAATGTTGTATGTTCAACATATCATGTTTAAATTTTGGTATTTCTAAAATACAAGTTTGTAAAGAACCAAATATTTTTTTAAAATTAAAATTACCTTCAATTTCAGGGAAAGACCTATCTTGAAAAAGCTTCAGCTTTTCATTTAACTTTTCAATTACATTATTTATGGTGGTTTTAATATCTTTATACTCATTATTTCTAAAAAAAATACATTATACAACACAGATTACAATACAAACAAACTTCACCTTTGATTTTCAATATCCCTTATATACTTATTCAGTTCAAAATCTTTATATTTCAAAAGCTGATTAATTAACGAATGCTCAGATTTCTCCAAATCTGAAACCACGTCACATAGACTCTTTAACTTAGTTTCTAACTTTAATTCGACCATTTTTTAATATCGATTTAATGAAGTTTTGCTCGAATTTTGAATTTTGAAAGTTTAACTCGACAGCTGTCAGATGGTGCCACCGTAGATTTTATTTTAGGTTATGTTAGATTTAAAAGCGATTTTATTTAAAATAAACACAAAAAAATGTTGTCGAGGAATTTAGCGAATGCTACTAAGTTAGCACTTAATGTAAGTCATGTAATTATTACATTTATAAAGAGGTAAATTGTGTGAAATCATTTTTAGGGCTCTAGTTCTAAAACTATTCGTGCAATTACTATTAGACAAAGGTCTTATACGCCTATGAATACGGTTGTAATGTTTGTTCCTCAACAAGAAGTAAGACATATACCTTTTTTATAATATAAAACAAATAAAACGAGTGTTTTAGGCATGGATAGTGGAGAGAATGGGCAAATTTCACAGAATCTTAGAACCAGGGTTAAACGTGCTAATTCCTATAGCAGACAGAGTTAAATACGTGCAAAGCCTTAAAGAAATAGCGGTCGACATTCCTAAACAGAGTGCTATAACATTGGATAATGTTACGTTAAGTATTGATGGTGTATTATATCTTCGAATAATAGACCCTTATTTAGCAAGTTATGGGGTTGAAGACCCAGAATTCGCCATCACACAACTAGCACAAACCACAATGAGATCCGAATTAGGTAAAATATCACTTGATAAAGTGTTTAGAGAGCGTGAAAACCTAAATATTCAAATAGTTGAATCAATTAACAAAGCTAGCGAAGCTTGGGGTATGACATGCTTACGTTACGAAATTAGGGACATAAAACTACCAAATCGAGTACATGAAGCCATGCAGATGCAGGTTGAAGCAGAAAGAAAAAAACGTGCAGCCATTCTTGAATCTGAGGGTGTACGTGAAGCTGAAATTAATGTAGCTGAAGGTAAAAGGAAGGCCAGAATATTGGCTTCAGAAGCTGATAGACAAGAACAGATAAACAAAGCCACTGGCGAAGCTGCAGCTATTTTGGCTGTGGCTGATGCTAGAGCAGGTGGTTTAAAGAAGGTTGCTGAAGCATTGGGAAACAATTTGGGGCCCAATGCGGCTTCCTTGACCATTGCAGAGCAGTATGTTAGTGCTTTTAATAAACTGGCTAGGACAAATAACACTTTGATATTGCCTGCTAACGCTGGTGATGTTAGTTCCTTGGTTACTCAGGCTATGGCTATTTATGGTTCCATTATGAAGAATCAGCAGCCTACAGATAACTACCAGACAGTTAAGAAGTTGTACACTCCACTTCCAAATGCCAAGGATGATTTGGAGGAATTTTTTAGTGATGAAGAAGATTTAAAAAAGCACAAAGAAAAAATGGAGAACATGACTCAGCCAGAAAAATAATGTGTCAACTTGTCAACCAAATGGGTTCTTTGCATTTTATTGTGATTATTTATAAATTATGTTGTATATAAATTGTTATTATTAAATAATACAACAGGAATACAATTAAAATTAATGTAAAAATTATTTGAACGAAAATAAACGAATTTAAAAAAGTAGGTATAAGAATTAGGTTTACTTTTCAAGAAATGCATTTTTTAAATGAACTTTTTTTTAAATACAGTATTTTGAAAAATTTATCCATAAAACGATACAACAGCAACATTATATAGGCAAATCATATTCAAAATAAAACCAATTTATTTGCTTATAATTTACTTTTAAAATACGAACTTAATAAGTTAAGAAAATGGGCACCCGGTATAGTAATTTATTCAAAAGTGTTGCCAACCTAGACAAAGTTCCCCAAACTATTACATTTCCATTAAAAATTGACTTCGCAGGCAAAATTATTATCAAAAATCAATTTAATATGGATTAAAATAACCTTACTTAATAATAATTTAATATAAAAGTTTTCGAAACAGGAAGTGTCAGTTAAAAACATCGACTTGGCGGGCTGCTGTCACTAAACGTCATTCGAATAAGTGTCACTTGTTGTTTTGTTTTTAGATTTTTAGGACAGAAGCCCTCAAAGTATTTTAAAACAATTTTTTTGATCTGAAAAAATTCCTGGAAGTGATACAAAAAGCCGAATTGCGTTCGAAAGAAGTGAAAATTCAAATTTGCCGCGTAGCGTACAGCATATTGATTCCGGTTTCTGCCACTATCGCAGTCGCAGTTGTGAATTTCTTTAGACGACTCGTCTAAAATTCTTTACTCGTGTTGAGCTGATTTTTTTAAAACAGTAAAAGCGTAAGTATATTACGTGCTCTTTATTAACGTAATTAGGCTAGAAATATCTTTGATTGTTCATTTTTACATTCGTTCTATTTGTAACGTTCTTAGTTGCGTTTTATTAGAGAAATTTCGATAAATATTAGGTTTATTTTTCTGTAATGGTTGCTCTTGCATACTTCATTGTGCAATTTTGGCATTTACACGTGTATTAGACTTTGTAGTTGCTTAATAAGTAATTATTTATGCATATTTTGATGTATTTTTCGTGCAATTTTTATTATTCGCGTTTAAGTTTAAATTCAGTCAATGACCCGTTTTTGTGCCGTTATTTTCCCGAATTGTGGAATTTAAACTTTTTTTGTTGAATTTCTCTTTGTCGAGAATGACTAATTGCTTTGTTCAAACTTTATAACCATAAATAAACTAGGAAATTTCAGTACACTTCCTTGTAAAATTTGACCTTACACCATAGTTTTTTCAACATTACAATGTGCTGAAGCTGTTTTTTCGGTTTTAGAAATTTTTGTATGAGTCAAAAGGTAGAAAAACCAGTCCTATCCGGTCAACGCATCAAGACCAGAAAAAGAGGTAAGCAAAAAATAAGATATTACATTTTGTAGCAAAAAGTTTGGTTAAGCACTGCCAAATACCCAATTATGTCAAATATGTCACTTACAAAACAAAGTGCAAACAGCAAATTTTAGTAATTGTAATTTTTTGTGAGAAAAAATTTGGTACAATAAAAACTAAGTAACAAAAATATCATATGGCCAATGGTCCACCATAAATTTACCTTTTTTAATGGGCCCTATAATTTTTGCTTCTCAATACTAAAATAACACAGCAAGTGCATTAATTTTATTATTTTTTATTTTAAATTTTCATATCAATGTTATTGAGGTAAAAATAATGAAATATTTTAATTAAATCCATATGGATTTAAAAATTAAAGAAAGTGTAAGAGCCTAAACTTAATTTATTAATATTACAAGTATTTTGTTAAAATTTAACACATTGCAAGGATTCAGTATTGGTATTTTTGATTTAGAATTATTTGTGCAATATTTTTTTATTTTTATTAAAATTAGTAATATACCTATTTTTAAAATAGCTATATTTATTTTACATGATTTAATAAATTTATTTTAATTTAAATTGTAATAAAATTAAAGTTACATGTAAAATAATTGTTCAGTCGAAATATATGTAGGTAGGTATAATTTAAATAATAAAAACAAGATAGTAAAAAATAAATCTCAATTTTATTTATAAAATGTATGTATATATGTATATACCTAGGTACATATATATATACATACATATATATAAATAAGTAGAAGTAAATTTAAATAAGTAGAAATTTATTAAATGACCTTCAAATTTATTATTAAATGTTATTAAATTTGGTATACATACATTGAAGCATGATTTTAGAATTTTGTTGTGGTTATGTTTCATTTTAACTTTTTTGTTAATCTAGGTCAAAGTCTTTTTTTTTAAATTTATTATTTATGGATACATTTATAAATTACAGGCATTATAATAAATATGTTATTATTTTTAATAAACATTTTATACATTCAAAATTATTAATAATAATAGTAAATTTTCTATAAAAAAAAAGTTTTTTTTTAAATTCCATTGACTTTCATTGTTGGGTCATTTGTGTTATGTCAAAAAATAATCCAACAAATACCACACAAGAGATTAATAAATTAAAAATAATTATCCAGTCTTTTCTCAAACCTGTTGCCATTTGGCATTAAATCAAGTTAGTTTTAAATAATTTAATACATTTATTAAAACGAACTTATATAATAAAAATTACTTTTTGAGATCTTAACAATAGTTTAATTTTTTTAGATGAGAAGGAGAGATATGATCCAAATGGGTTTAGGGATGCAATAATCTCTGGACTCGATAAATGTTCTAACGATTTTGAAGGAATTTCGCGTTATTTGGACGTAGCTGGAAATAAATTAGACTACAGGCGTTATGGAGAGTGCCTCTTTGACATCCTTATTGCTGGGGGCATCTTGGGTAAGAAAAATACATTTTTTACTTGTTTTTTTATATTTTTTTGTATTTGTTGGCCAACAACTGGCAACATTACTTACCTACTTTACATTTATAAGAAGAAACTAAAAATAATAAAATAAAATTGTAAAATTTTTTTGTCACATCTGTTTTGGTTAAGAAGTTCTGAGACTATTTGCATTCCCAATAACAAAAATCTGTTTGATCAAGCCTTAAAACTCTCAGCCTGCTATTAAATAATATTAAATAGTATTTGATCAGTTATGGAATGGTTCAAATCAGTTATTGGGTGGAAGCAAGTATTTGCAGATCCATCTGATTTTTCTTGTAAATAAATATCTTCATTAAAATCTAAATTTTTCATTTTTATATTCTAAAAATTAAGTTATAAAAATTAAACTAAATGACCTTATTTAAATAATTCAAAAAATGAGTAATGAAAGTGTTCAGACTTCCTTTGGAACTTTTTTTTTATATTTATTAAACCCTAAAAGATTACCAGCATCCACAACAGGTATAAATTAAAGAATACATATTTACAATATTACAGCCTGAGATGAGATCTTCTTGTTTCTCATATTTGAAGAGTTTGGTACCAAATGGAAATGTTGTCTGGTCCTTGTATTGTGTTGGTGTATATCACAGTTGGGTCATTTCATATCAAATCAACCAAAATAAAAATAGGTTTGGCAGGTCACCTCTCCGATTTTGATAATTTTTGGTACAGTTATTCTATCCATAAATAGGATCAAAAATCCAAAATTTCAGATTTTTCGGACCAGTAGTTTTTTTTAAATTAATTTTTGAAAATCAAAAAAACTGTCAAATTCTCCTCAACATGCTCCCAGAAAAAATAGAATATCTCGAGAACTACTAACACTAGAATAGCGATATATAGCTTATTTTAAAGGTCTTGAAAATACCTTTCGAATGAGGTATATCATGACATACTTTTTATTTTAAAAAAAAAGTAACTTTTGAAAAAAAAAATTTTTTTGAAATTTTTCAAAAGAGTATAATTTAATTTTTTTCAAAAAAATATATTTTTTTTGTCAATATCTTAGCAACATGTTGGCAAAATTTTAGGGTGGAGAAATAATGGGTTCATAGTGAAAAAAAATATTGAAAACTTATAAACATGCAAAATTCCAGCATAAGTGTTTTAATTTGTTATAAAAAACTTGTTTTTCGAAAACTGTCATTAAAAATTGACTTTTCGGCCATTTCAAGCGGATGGACGGGACAAATCACAAAACTGTTTTTATAAAAATAATTGTAGGTAATTTATTATATATTATTTTTGCATCAAAATTGTCAAATATATTCTTATATTATTAGGCTATACATTAAATAAAAAAAATCGCAAGAAATATTTTATAAAAGTAGAGATAATTTCAATAATTGACAGGGGTGGACGGGACAAAATAAATCTTTTTTTTGTCCCGTCCACCCCTTTTAATTATTAAAATTATATCTACTTTCATAAAATATTTCTTGCGTTTTTTTTATTTAATGTATAACCTAATAAAAGAAGAATATTTTTGACAATTTTGATGCCAAAATATTATATAATAAATAATCTACAATTTTTTTTATAAAAACAGTTTTGTAATTCGTGCGTTTCGCGCGCTTGAAATGGCCGTTTTACATAATATTTATTAAGTGTCAAAACAACGGTTTTGTGTCTAAATGTTTTTTTAAGGTTTTTACATCCGTTGCTATTAGCAATGGATGTAAAAGTCTTTTACATCCACCTAAAATATTTTTTGGATGGACAACAACTAATAGCTGAACTTAAAGAGAAAATTATAAACCTTTCAAAGATTTACTACTTTTCTGATGGGTGCGCAGCCCAATACAAAAATAAAAAAAATTTCATCAACCTTTGTTACCATCAAGAAGAATTTGGGGTAAAAGCGGAATGGCACTTTTTTGCCACTTCCCATGGCAAGAGCGCTTGTGATGGCCTAGGTGGTACCGTAAAACGTTTAGCAACTAAAGCTAGTCTTCAAAGGCCATACCAGGACCAAATTATGACGCCAGAACAACTTTTCCAATTTGCGCAAGAAAATATAGCCGGTACCGCGGTATCACATTTAGGTTTTGTACAACTGCTGATTACGAAACGCATGCAATGTATTTAGAAAAAAGGTTTGCTGAAACACTAACTATTCCTGGAACTCAAAAAGTACATTCAGTTATTCCAGTTTCAAAATCAAAGATAATGACCAAAAGCTTTTCACTCAGCTTGGAACAAAAAACCCAGGAACTTTTGAGGTGTTCTGAAATCACAAATTCTGAACTAATGTCTCTTCAATCTGGTTTTGTGACTGTGGAATATGGTTAGCCTGTATCATTGGACATAATGAAGAATCTGATGAACTTAAAATCAGTTTTCTACATCCAAATGGACCGGCTAGTTCATTTTATTATCCGACACCCAGAGCAGACATTTTAGTAGTAGAAAGAAATGCAGTATTAAAGAGGGTTCAGCCTCTTACTTCTACCGGTCGAACCTACACGCTTACCAAAGATGAAATGTTGGATTCTTCAAAAATTTTAGAAAAAAAGAAACTAAAGCTGAAATTATCTAATTTTTTTCCTTTATAATTTAGTTTTTGAGTTTTTTTATTCCTTTTATCAATATTTTATCAAAATAAATACCACTATATTGCATGCATTTTTATTGTTATTATTTTTTTTCACCTTGTTCCAATCATTTCTCCATCTTAAAATTTTGCCAATATGTTGCTAAAATATTGAGAAAAAAAATATATTTTTTTGAAAAAAATAAAAAAATACTTTTTTAAAAATTTTCAAAAAATATTTTTTTTTCAAAATTTTATATATTTTTTTTCAATAAAAAGTATGTCATGAGATACCTCGTTCGAAAGGTATTTTCAAGACCTTTAAAATAAGCTATATATCGCTATTCTAGTATTAGTAGTTCTGGAGATATTCAATTTTTTCTTAGTACATGTTGAGAAGAATTTGACCGTTTTTTTGATTTTCAAAAATTAATTAAAAAAAAACGACTGGTCCGAAAAATCTGAAATTTTGGATTTTTGATCCTATTTATGGGTAGAATAACTACCAAAAATTATCAAAATCGGAGAGGTGACCTGCCAAACCATTGGTTGATTTGATATGAAATGACCCAGTTTTATTGCAGCTTAATTTTGGTACCTAGTTAAAATATTATTCTTTATTTTGTACATATAAAGTCTAGATTGATTATTTTCTAAAGTATTTTAAGTTTGTTGTACATTTCCATTGTGTTTGCCATATATGCCTATAGGTGGTTTTTTTAAGAAAATTGTTAATCTTTTATATAACATTTTCTGGCCTGTCCGCAAATGCATAGTGGATCTGGAATTTGGTTTCTTGATTTAATAAGAATACATTTCTGCATAGAAAGTTGCAAGTTTTGTTAATGGTTTTTTTAACTTCACATATATGTTCAAAATTCAATTTATTGTCTATAGTGAGTCCGAGATATTTAGCATGTTTCACTTCACTTATTGGTTTATTGTTTATCCTTAAGGCTTATTGGTGGAGAATGAGGGTTCTTAAACACTATATAATTGCACTTATTTTCATTTAACTTATGTTATTTTGACTAGTCCAATCACAGATTTTAATAAGGTCTCTTTGAGCATCACATATCACAGTTAGTTATATCATTTATATATATTGAGGAAAGCAAGGGGCCAAGCTCTGATCCCTGCAGGACACCAGAACACCACCAGTATCACTTTTTTTATCACAGATCTGGTTAAATTGTTTTCTATTTTGGAGATAGCTAGCTAGTATTTTAAAAGTTTGATTCTGAATACCAATTGATAGCAGTTTCCTAAGGAGTATTTGATGATCTACAACTTCGAAGGCTTTGCATAGGTCAAGAAATATAATCATTCTTGTTTTTTTATCAATACTTGAAAAGATTAAATTGAATTAATTAAATTTGTTATAGCATGGTAAACCAGATGAAGTTGTTTTCTTTTCTTTTAAGAACTGTAGTAGTCGTTTGTTCAGTGTTGTTTAAATTATTTTTGAGAAAACTGATAACAGAAATTGGCCATTTTAAAAAATACTCGTAGGTGTGACTAGCTATTTTTAGAATGTCTGGGAAAGTTCCAGTTTTATAGTGTTTATTTATTATTAATGATATCACTGTTGATAAAGGCTCGGGTAATTTTTCTAGGAGCAGCATTCGTTTTTTTAAACCCTTAAAAAAACAGAGCTGATTATCTTAAATTATACCTATTCAATTCCTATTTCAATTTCAACCAAAAACTATGTATCCAATGCATGTCAGTTCTGTTTAATTGTTATTGCCTCAATATATTTCTGTAATGATGTGACTTCATTTATTCATCCAACAAAAAAATCTAGCATGTTTTTGGGAGTTATTTTAAGTTCAGCTTTTAAACCCTACCCCATATTGTATGTTCCCTTTATTCTGCTATAATGCTAGATTTTTGATATGTAGTATTTTTCAGATTTAAGGGATATATTAAATAACACCAATACTGGCATTCAGTTGTTCTATACTGAACGTTATCGTGAGTGGTTACATCATTTTTTAACGATATAAATAGATATTTAATAAAACAAATGTAATAGTTATTTACCTACCAAGGGTATTTAGTAGATGTTTATGCTCTGAGGGCGACGATCTTAAAAACCCGAGAGCCTCCGGCCCAAGGGCATACACATTTATTAATACCAGCGGTGCATACAAATTTTTATGTGGTACTATGTAGGTTGTTATTGCATCAAAAAATGTATAAATATTTAAAAAAATCCATAGATATTTTTTTTTTATTTATTTATTTATTTATGACCTCAAAAACAGTTATAAAAACTGGTTTAATGTAATATTTTGTAATTTTATTAATAAAGGTTATTAACGACATACAACATACAAATGTGCTTGAATTCTTTAATTCAACGCCATTTTTTGTTTACATTTGGCACATTTTTAACGTTCTGATTACGCCACCGCTCTCTTCATTACTCAAGAAGAAAAAATCGTTTTATATAAACTTATCAACTTCAGAATTTCAGCTTCTCGCTCCTCTCATGTATTAAATCAAGTTAATAAAACTAGTTGCATAATGTACCATTACACAGTACTGGGCTAAAATAGCAAAGTAGTTAATAGTATATTATGTATCAAGTTTTATAATCGCCATTTTAGTTAAAAGTTTATAAACGAGTTGCATAATACATTTACTTTATCTATAGATCGTATACGATCTATATCAATAGATCGATACGACGAACACAAAACCGAATTTAAAGCCAATTTTATTTGGTAAAAATTTGACATCTGTAACTTTTTCCTAATTTATAATAAAGCTTTAGCCCGTGACTAAAACGCCATAGTCACAGCTCTTCAATGTAGGAGTAGATAATAGTATATTATGTATCAAGTTTTATAAACGCCATTTTATTTAAAAATATATCATAATTTATAATCGCTAATTAATTTTTTAACATAATTTTTACCTATAGTGGTATTAGCTTCAACTTGACAATTGTTGAGTATTAATTATATAATTTTCGAATTGTGATGTGTTCTCCTGTATAAGTTTATTGTAAAATTTACTAAAGGTCACAGTATTTTATCTAAATGGTAATTTTATGGTTTCAAGATAATTAGTCTTTAATTAATCGCTGTGGCTCCCGTCCCGAGTGACGTTATAATTTTAAGATTCGTTATGTTACGATAAAACTAAAACCAACCAACCAACCCAACACTTCTTAACAAATGAACAACAAATTTATAAAATAAAAAAATAAAAAAAGTTCTAGTAGTATCGAACCCGATGGCTCTCGCATGCCAAGCGACCGCCCTACCATCTGAGCCATCCAGCTTAACATTACTTTTATAACGCTCGAGGAATAAAAATGGATTTATATTGTGTGACGACAGTCGGGATCGAACTAATAAAGATAATACAAATTTAAGTGGTGCAATTTATAATTTACCATACACGGTGCTGTTCTGAAAGGTGATTTTTGGACTTTCTGTGAAACCTAATTTTTTTTATATTCTTGTTAATTAGGTCGTAACTAAAATTTTAAGAGCAAAATAAAAAAAAATTTGACGGTTAATTTTGTTTTAATTGGATGTTTATTAAAAATATGTATGCACACTTTCAATTCTCCAATTAAAACTTGCGATTTTATTTAAATATTATCATATCATAGTTAATTTCCTTAAAAAAGGTCTATACATTTTTTATATCTTTTACTGTTTTGTTGTAATACACGTTTAAAGTTTTAATTTAAGGTTAAATGTATAGTATACATTTATTAAACAATAATTCTAAGGGTGCCACATTTTATTTATGGCCGATTTATTCATTTTTGATTTATTTGACGAATAATTTCTTTGGATACTAGATATTGCCAAGACATGAAAGTTATCGGCCCGATAAACTTTACTAAAGATGAATAAACCGGTCCTTGATTAAATTTCATGAATTTCTTCGTAACTTTTACTACAATTTTTCATTTCTGTTTATAAAAAACACTTTGAAAAACTAAACAAAAATTATAGAATATGTATACTGAAAATGACAATTCAAACGTCAAATAAATTTTTAATAGATCTAAGTTTCCTGGCAACCTTTAAGGATATATAAATTAATTGAACATAAATGTATACGTCAAAGGTTAGATTAAAAGTTTGAACGTTTATTGCAACAAAACAGTAAAATATATAAAAAGAATTGTAAAAACCTTTTTTTTTAGTTATGCAAATATTAAATATTTAAATTAAATCGCTAGTTTTAATTGGATAATTGAAAGAGTGCATAATATTTTTAATAAACATCCAATTAAAACAATTCAAACCGTCAAATTTTTTTTATTTTGCTCTTAAAATTTTAGTTATGACCTAATTAACAAGAATATAAAAAAAAATAGGTTTCACAGAAAGTCCAAAAATCACCTCTCAGAACAGCACCGTGCATAGTTTATTGACAAACTTCAAAAATGTATGTAAAAGTATTACAGTTTTTATTTTATTTTTTATTATTTTAGGAAAAGTAATACAAATATAAAATAGTTTATTTTATATTTGGATTTTTTAAATAAATTTGTCAATAAACTATGGTAAATTTTAAATTGCACCACTAAAATTTGTATTATCTTTATTAGGGGGGGGCATCTTTTTTTCGCAAACTTCTATTTAAATTCTGCTTGCGCAGAACTTGTTAATTTAGTGTCATATAAATTTTGTGTGGGTCCCATGTCTAATAACTGAGATATGGCATATGCAAAATCCACCAGCCGCCACTGATCTACATATAATGATCATAATTCAGAAATCGATTTGGACGCTTATGTTCCTTTTCTCGGAACGTGGAACTTAAAATTGTGATAAATAAAAAATCACGTTTCTTAATGATGTCTTAAGGTTTTTCTTGAATGATTAATAATTTTTGATAACATTTTTAAAAATATTTTACTTATCACTTAAATTTTAAATTGTTCTACTTATTTTACTACACAGAGATTATTTATTGCATTGATAATACCGTTTTACAAGTTTTTATAAAGATTACTAATATTATAATAACAGTTCCCAGTACATACGTTAATTATAATATTATAATTATTTATAAATCATCATTTTTTATTTTTCCAGTTATTAAATAAAACTTGCTCATGCTATAGTTTGTAATATAGATGATTTATGACCAAAACAAAATTTTAATAGCACCAAAAGTCATTAATTGAAATAAACCTTTGAGTAAGGAAGAGAGGGAAAACGAATTTAGAACGATGAAAAGTGCCAAATGTAGGCCAAAAAATTTCATCGAATTAAAGAATTCAAGCACATTTGTAGATTATGTCAAAATGAAAACAATGGATAAACAGGTAAGGTAGCGAGCTGTTTTATGAATCGGCCGTCTTCAATTTCTTACGAAAAAAACACACAAAAAATACCTAGTTAACACTTTAAAACGACGGCATTTGTTGGTTCACTTTCGGCACACTTCACTACGCCTGTGTGGAATAAACTTTATGAGTCCATTCTCTTTAAAGGTATAAAGTTATACCTTATTATATAGTCTAAGGCTTAGATAATTAAAGAGAATATACTATAAACCACCACTCAAAATACTGTCAAGATTATACAAAATGTCGTACTCAGTTATAACCGTTTAGTCTTGAGGCCCTTTTCGATAATGAAATATATTAAAGACCTGATTAAAGATTAATGTATGCATTGAAAATTGCAATAAAATGTAGGTTATGAAATTAAACTTTAATCATTACATGACTTTAAAGTGCTGTATGAAGATATATTTATAACTTGTATTGTTACTGTAACAATACAAGTTATAAATATATCTTCAATGTTACACTTTCAGACCTTTTACCGTTAATTACTTTAACGCCATTAACCTACTTTATATATACCTAGTTATGATCGCTTAAATTGACTTATTTTGATCCAAGAAATCTAGGGTATTTCGTTATACACGTATTTTCCGATTTTGTTACATTTGTTTATTTTTTCTTGCAGTTCCTGGAGGTACACTGTCACAAGAGGGGGATGGGCCTCACAAGACGGAAGCGTGTATTTTTAACACCCCGGACGAGATCAATATGGAAATAATGAAAAGTTGGGAGCAAGTTTTTATCAAACTTATGCGTCGCTACAAGTATCTGGAAAAACTGTTTCAGGACGAGATCAGGAAAATCTTGATGTTCGTCAAGTATTTTAATCCTGCAGAAAGGAAAAAATTGTCTGTGATGGTGAGAACCAATTTTTTTTAATTATAAGTTTAATCAATAATTTTTTTTTATAAAAGTTCAAAAATGCAAAACATTTAAAATTTTGATAACAGCAAAAATTGTCTGGAAATATTACAAAAATTATTATTAAAAAGTATAGATGGCAGATGCTTTGCAAATTTAAACCATACACAAATGAGGAGCATCCGTGCAAAACTGGCTAAATCCATTTTATTCAGTTTTTGTTTTTTTTTCTCATTTCGCATCTTTGGGTTCATTTCTATCGACAACCAAGATAATTCTGTTTAAATCCGACTATATCCATGTTAAAATCACATTTAAAAGGTAGCTTTAGGAGCAAAACCGGCCAAATCCACATTTTTATAGCAAACCCGGCTATATCCAATAAATAATAATGATGGTGAGCATGTGGCTTGGATATGTCGATACTACTACTAAAATTTGTTCTGTTTTTTCATGTTTGCACTAAATTTATTTTGTTAATATTTTTGAATATTAAAGGTTTTTTTTTACATTTTATTCGGTTTTTGAGCAAAACCGGCTATATACAAAACATTTTTCGAAATTTTGGCCTTAATATAAAGTTTTTGAAAACGAAAGTATGTCTTATAAATCAAGTACCACAAAGCCCACAAAACTCAAGTCTGCTTTTTCTTTTATCTGTAAAGGCCAGGAAACTGAGAGTTTTTGCCATTTTCCCAACATTTTATTAAAGTGGATATAGCCGGTTTTGCACGGATGCTCCTCAAATATGACATGATACTTTTTAATAGAGAAGGATGAGCACTTTCAAAAGCGCTCATAAGTGCTCATAAATGCTCGAGGGCTTATAAATAAATGCTCGAGCATTTACCAAAGTGCTCAATATTTGAATTTGGTGCCAAAACTAAAAAGCGGGGTTATAAATTAACCAACAAATAACTACTGTTTACATAAGAACATGTGCAGGTTACAAAAGTGGTGCAGGTTTATCCAATTCCAAAATGGTTTATTAAATTTATATTTCATCGTTTATAAATGCTCAAGCATTTATGAGCGCTTATGAGCATTTTCGAGCGCTCATGAGCACTTATGAGCGCTTTGCAAAGCGCTCGAGCATCTGCCATCTATAGTTTTAACTAAAGGTTGTCGAAAAATTTACCAGGTAGAACTCTCAAAATAATGAAAATTTTTTGTATAGAAATAGTGCGAGAAACGACTCCTAAGTAAGCTAGAGCACCTTAAAGTCCGCCCATGAGAATGTATTTTCTAAAATTTAATGTTTCCAAAACCTAAGAAGATAAAAGACTGAAATTTGGTATGAGTACATAAAATTTTATGCCAAAGTTACTTTCAATAAAAAGTTTTTCATTTTTAATTTTTTTTTTAAATCTAAAAAAAACTTTTTTGACATCTCTGCTAGTAGTGCGTTATTTTTGTTGGTACAAAGCAAATATCAATATGTGAACAAGAAACTTCCTATTAAGGATGTTTTTTGTTAATTTTCCAGGTATCATTGTGGATCGCAAACGGTTCGATCCCCTTTAACGCCGTGCTCGTTTTGAACAACTCTCACCTGATCAAGGACCACCTCGCTCTCGACTTCCTCATCGACATGTTCAAGTGCTGGCGCCAGGAGAAAGGCGTCACGTCGCTGCACTCGGCCATCAAAAAATCCAACATCGAATCCCACCTGATTAGCTTCATACCGGACACGAAACAATCGCAAGTGTACTTCCGCCAAGCCTTCCAGGAAAACGGCCTGGAAGAGATACTCAAGCTCTACAACGACCAGCACCAGCAGCTTGCCAAGAAGAACTTGCAAGTAAGGATTCTTTTTTTTTCTTGAAGATATTGCTTGGTATTAATGTTATTTTGGTATTCTTTTAGGTTGTTCTGGCCGACTCGCTGGCTGAAAACAAGTCGCAACGCGACATCATAAATGAAGTGAAAGAAATCGCCTCCAAGGACAATATACAGGACCATGAGACTGTCTGCATAATATGGACAACTGTTATGGACATACCTGAGTGGTCTAAGAAGGAGGTCAGTATCTTTTATTAAGTTTGAGTTTTAAAGCTAGAATTTTTTATTTTTTTAACAAACAAAAGTTTTTAAGATATTGTCTCTATTTAAATAATTTTTAATAATTATTGTTTTATGATAATTAACATCTTTCTATTATTGCTTTTATCACTTTCATCAGATTTCAAAACAAAATTGATTGACATATTGAATTGACTTGAGAATGAGTTATTTTCCTAACTCGCACGCTACTGCAATTGCACGACGCAAAGCAGAGCAAGGTGTAAATGCGGAATAATTACTTTGGTCATGGGTCAGAATTCGTGAAATCAGGATGATAAAAATGGCTATTATTGTTTTTTGTCGAAATGTTGAAAACACTTTTTTATTTGCCCATAAAAATTAATCAACATGTAAAATACACTTTTACTAAAAAATTTTAGAAATAACGATTTGTGTTTTTAAAAGATTTTTGTTTTTTTCAAATATTTTGAAAACCGCTGGCTTTTTCCAATTCGTAATTTTTTTTGAATAGGCTTTAACCGACTTTGTAGCTCTCAAAATAAAAATAAACCATAGAATTATACACATAAAAAGTTAGTAAAAAGTACATATACTTGAAAAAAAAATTCCACTCCTGTCAATTTAATCCTATTAAAAAATACGATTTGCTGACGGATAAAAAGGAAGGAACAAAAATGCAAGTCTGTAAAAATATATATATTGTTAATGCAAACAAAATTGTCAAAATATAAAAGTGTTTTTGTGCCCCCCAAAATAACATATAAGATTATCTATGCAAAATTTTAAGTCTACTGAAAGTCAAGAAGAGAGCCCCAGGTAGCCAGTACTGGAAACATAAAATAATTTGTTGATAACATGTCTCTTAACGAACAGAATAAATTGGAAGAACTATTTGCTCAAGCAATTTACTCTTGTTCTTGTTTAGTTTAGTTGGAAACCCTGATGTAATATTTTTTAAAGCTACCTGAAAGAAAGAATTTATGTACTACATTGCTTAACTCTGAATATGCTAAAATCTAAAAAATTGTTAAAGATAAAGTACCTACAAGAGGTTGATAATATGACAATTCTTTTAGATGGTTGGCAATTGTAGCCTGTATTTTTAAAAACGTTAGACGCTCACTCAAAAATGTTGATTTTATTTTGCATGTTTTTTTTTCATATTTTATTGGTCAGAACTGCAATACTATCTATCTTTTACTTTTCAATATTCCTATATACAGTGTGACCCATTTGTTTGCGACTCACCCCTGTAAAATCTTTATTTATTTTGCAATTTTAACCGGATTTGTTTTAAAGTGTAGATCTTGAGAAACTGTATTTTTGCAGGAAAAAACGCCATATTTTACCAAAATATAAGGCCTACTATGTCAGTTTTTAAGAGTAAATTTTTAAGAATTCAAATTAGCAATTTTTTTAAACAAAATCTAACCACTGCACTGGATTCACCACCCCTCAAAACGACTCTATACTAAATTTTATTGAAACATTTTAAGTAGAAAAATGCACAATAATAACCACAAGTTCGAATTTTATATTTTTGACCATTTTGTTTGCATTAACAATATATATTTTTTTACAGACTTGCATTGAGCATCGTCTTTTTTGCACTATTTTGTAATAATTCCAAATATAATATTTTTTTTTTGGAATTGTACTGTACCTAAAATAAACAACAAAAACGTTAGAATGATTTTAATTTTGTTTATTGTTTTTATTTTGTTTACCTTTTAAAAGGCTTTTATGCAAAGGGTTTTTTGCAAACGATTTATGAATTGTGATGATGAGATCTTCAACAAACTTCTTTTTCTTCTTCTTTAAATTAACACATTAACTTCTTCTTATTTAGTTTATTGGCCTTAACTTCGCAAATCATTGACATTTATATAAAAAACGGAAAGTTTCGGGAATGTTTCCGGTAACTTTAAAAGAAACTTTCAAAATGAAAATAAATTCCCGACTGGAAACTTTTCTTAGAATGGAAACTTTTCGATTCCCATCTGTGTATTTCCGCGAAACCTTACCCTGCCTTGACAAAAAATCAGATGTGTTATTTAACAAAATTAAAACTATATCTGAAGTCAAATAAGTTAGTTTAATTGCGACGTAATTTATAAACTTAAAATATTCGTACATTGTGATGCTAAGAAGCTCGCACCCGTTACATTTTGAGAAAAGTATTCAATATTTGTGCATTTAAAATACGTGCTTGTTACTATTCAAGTTTTATACAATAAATTATTACTATATGCATTTGCCGATTTTCTAAGGTCCCGCCCGTTACGCGATTTATGACGTTATAAAAGGTTTTCTATACAAGTTTTTATTGACATTTTGTTTGATTTATATATCTAATTTTTTATACTATTTTTGTATATTAACGTATCTTAATATATATGAACAAACACTTTATTATCATGAAATAAGGCAGTGTCAGTGTCGCACCCGTTACAATGGAAATACCCATCTCTAAAAAAAATATTTAGACTTTATAAGTTTATACTTAATTTTTGGCGAGCGCGTGTTAATTTTGAATTATTGTTTGTATTTTCAGGAACTGGTGACCGACCAAGCCGTCCGCCACCTGAAACAATACACGAGCCTGTACTCGGCGTTCACGCAGTCTGCGCGCGCCGAGCTCAGCCTGATACTGAAGGTGCAAGAGTACTGCTACTCGAACATGACGTTCATGCGCGCCTTCCAAAAGATCCTTATGCTGTTTTACAAGACGGACGTCGTCTCGGAACAGGCCATTCTTAAGTGGTACAAACAGGACTACAACGTTAAGGGCAAAATGATGTTCGTCGATCAGATGAAGCAGTTTGTTGAGTGGCTGCAGAACGCGGAGGAGGAGAGCGACTCGGACGGCAGCAGTGATTAGGTCAGTTAAAAAATTATTTATTATAAATAGATGGATGTAAAAAATTGTCAAATTTACAGAATTTCCCGGTAATTAATCCAACACCATTGTCTCCAAAAAAGCACACAAGATTTTAACACTTTTGTTGTTTGTTTCAGATCAAAAAGTATTTGAAGAGAGAATATCAGTGCCACCACTTATCATTTAAAACAATAGCATTTTTTCCAATGTAATTATGACATATTATATATTGTATAATAAACATTTCTGGTGCCTTACTCTGTTGGTATGTGGCAGGCAATAGTGTTGTTCCGAGGGTTCTCTAATAATGACCTCTTAAAAAATTTATATTTCATTAAAAAGTATTAGTGCATGGGAAAAAATGACAATTGTGTCAAGTATCGCCAATATTGTCGAACTCAATGTTATATATAATGATTTATTGTCAATTTTTTTAATATACAAACAAATTTTAAATAAAAACGACAAGCTTTATTTCTACAACAAAACCTCCACAACAACATGTAAATGGTCAAGGCATTTCAAGGTTTTACAAAAATAAAAAGGTGTTTATAGTTGAAATTTATTTATTTATTGATCAAATTAATAAAACATTTTCACTTACATAGATAACGTTTAACAACTTTAAATGAGAATTTGAGATTAGTACTCTGTACTTAACATTAGTTAACTTAATTATCTTTTTCCATTGCAAGATTATCACACAACTGTATAAAAATAATTATTATCACATATTTAGATAGACTTTTTACAACTTCGGATAGAAATAATAATAAAAAAGTATTGAAGAGATTTTTTCGTTTTTGAATATTTTGTACTTTTGGGAAGTATTTTTAAATATATCTTCAGGTCATTTGATATGACATTTTGATAGGTAACTTTTAGATTTTGTTATTTTTAAATTGATCCATACAGTAATAGTTATTTTCTAAGAACAATACAAGACTAAAATTTTACTATAAAACAAAAAGTAGTTAGTTGCACCATATAATTTCAGTTCAATTACAAGGTAATTATAAACGATTTTTACGAAAAAAACAAAAGGCTTGAAAAAAATAATTTTTAGGCAACCCCCATGTTTTAACAAGAAAGAAATGATATTAGGATATATTGCACCTTACATTTAACCAAGTCAAAAATAAATAAAATAATTTCCCATGACAGCTTTAATAAGCATTTCCTATAATTAAAGCACTCTTAACAAATTAAAAAAACACCATTTTAGTAAATTAATTTAAATAATAATTATCAATAGTTAAAAAAATAGTTTAATATTGTATAAAAGAAAATAATTGTATATGAAAATTCTATAAAATGAACAATGTAGATATTTAGCCTAACAATAACTAGCAGGTTAATGGGGTATCAAGATGTTCCGTATTTACCGTTTTCAAAGACACCTTTCCTGAAAAAGGGCGAGAAACTGTTTAAGGCCTGCTTTGTGATTGGTCCGCCGTAAGCCAACGGACAGTTCGGGTGGTTCCGGCACACTTCGATCAAACGACGCAAGTACAATTCTAGTTGGCGTTTGCGCGTGCTCGCTACCATTTCGTTGTTTGAGAACAGCTGTTTGCCGGGAAAAGGAATTGCAGAAACCTAAAGATATGTATATTATTATTTTAAACTAATGTGTGGAAAATGTTTTTATTCATAATTAATTTTTTATGACATTTTAACATTCTTAATTTTATGCAAGTTTCAATGTACCGTATTTTTATTTGAAATATATACAATCAAGTGAACCACTATAGTGGGTAATTCTCTACGTCAAACAAGAAGCCTATTCTTAGATAAATATATGGAACGTTCTATTTCGTTAATTAGAACAACAAGCGTTATCCAAAGGTTTAAACAAATGGTTTTATTTTGGGGTGTAAATGACACAGTACTTCCAGAATTGAAGTAGATGCGAAGATATAAGAAATAATGGTTTGTGCAATGGTAGAAGAAGATTCAAATACATCGATTCCCCAGGGGCGTAGCGACAGTACCGCGGGGGGCCTTAACCTCGTAGGGGCCCCAAAACATTAAAATACTTATGGCACAGTGGAGGACAATATTCTTTCGCTTTTTGTTAAAAAGTTTTGTTACCTTTTGTTTATAAATAATTTTTTAATAAATAAAAATAAAAAAATCATGTCACCTGATTTGTTCTTATTGACAATATTAAAACATGTAAATAATATGTGAAATCACAAAATATTAACACATTTCCATTACATTGAAAGCACAATCCTGCTATTGTCCGGTACTACTGGTCTATTGAAAATGAGTACAGGCAACTAATCTTTAGTATCCTGAAAAGTTTAATGCATTAATGCATGTGTGGTCTGGTATTTATGGAAATAAATTGGTCCCTTTGTAATTGGTGGCAATTTAAATGGAGCAAGATATTTGAATCATCTTCAAAATAGAATTATTCCTGCAATCCAAAACACCACCCATAATTTGGATAACGTTTGGCCCATCACATAACATAAGTGATGGAGTATTTATTAGAGTTTTTTCCCCAAAGGATAATTTCTACCAGGGGCGCTATTCGCTGGCCAGCAAGGTCGGCAGACTTGGCTCCTAACGATTTTTTCCTATGGGGATATGTAAATCTACCTTGTACCTTCATGAAAAAATAAATAATTTGGGCGAATTGGAGGCAAGAATGCGCCAAAAAACGTATGTAGTAATGCTCGTGCGCATATTCTGTGTGTGAGTTACAGTTCCTCGGTAGCAATAAAATGCTTGACGCATGATCACATTTTAAAACTATCTTTTGGATTTCCATAAGATCGTTTTTTAAATTACTGCCTTTTATATATTCAAGGAAGTGTGCTTGTGGTGAAATAGGTTGAGTTATAAAAATAAACGCGTATCGGTCGAGTTTACAAAAAGAAGAAAAGATTACAGATCCAAAAGCCGTTTATAACTGGGCAAAATGCCCATGCCCATGCATTTATCATAATACCTAAAACCTAATAGTATTATGTAATAGTCGGTAATGGTATATTATAATACGGACTTAAGAGCACTTCGCTGTGCGTGGGCCAAAAACACAGACCTAGGTCTGTGGCCAAAAACACAGACCTAGGTCTGTGGCCAAAAACATGTTTATTAATTGAGAACTGGCCAAATACCCTGTCACTATGCTTTAGTTTCAAGTGTGCTACAAAAACATGCAACGATAGGCACCTTATAAGCTTAAGTAGAAAACCATGTTTATTATGATTTATTAATTCCTTAACCTTTATTCAATAATTTGAAACGTAAAATCCATAAAAGCAGGGCGCTCGAACCAAATATAAAACTGCAATAAAGCAACGTTAATCTGCCAATTTTTTATTTCATAATTTAAATATTATATAAACTCGACACGACTTTTTACTTCTAAAAATAATTATCATTATTAATTATTTATTTTTTTAAATTTTCATGTAATATTTTTTTAACCAAAAAAATTAAGTGTTTCTAAAAAAAATATATTTGTTAAAAAATTACCAAAAAGTTTGATTGTTTATAAAAAAACAAGTTGATATAAAATTCTGACCCTTCGTAAATTCAGGGTCCACTTCAGAAAGCTTTACCTAATGAGTTTTTTTACTACTTTTTAGATTTTATTCAATTCAATTTTAAAGTGACCGTGACCGTTATATCAATAATCGTTGCATTACTACACTACACATTATTACACGATCATTATTTAATCATTGTCCCGAGGCGGGATTTAAGTTTGATGCGGACTGACATCATAAAAGGGTGAAGAAAAAGGGTAAATAATCTAAAATTTTAGATATATGAGTACATTAGATGCACAACTCTGTATTTGCAGGATAAGTGATTTTAAGAAAAACATGAATAACCGTTCATAAGATCATTTTTGAAAAAAAAATGCAAAAATTGTATAGACGTGCTTTTGCATCATTTTTATTCAAGAAAGTAAAAAAAAGGTATTTTATTAAATAATTGTAATCAAAATATTTAAAAACATAGTTTTGCATCTTCCTGATTGTTAGGTCGTCACGTAATGCGTATACTAGCGACGTGATTGGTCAACAGCAAATACCGAGTTTTGCATCCGACAGGAAGAAACAAATACCCAGTTTTGCATCTGCGTTAAGTTTTTAAATGTATTTTATTCTACAAATACTAACTTATACATCTGGTTTACTTAGGTATGCTGTAGGCAGTGCAGTAATGTACTATTGCGGCCGATAAAAAGTAATCGATTCTTTATCAAATTGCATGTTTTTCTTAAAAATTGGCTATTGTAAGTAGGGTTTTTTACGTCAGTCATGTCAATTAAATTATTTTGACAAGAAATCATAGGTATATGACATATTTAATTTTTTCATAAAAAAAAATTAAATTATATAAAGCATGTTTATTCGTAATACAAACAAAAAGAACAAATTATTTATTGGGCGACCAAAATACATAAATTTAAACTTAAAAAGAAATACTATACTACGACGATAACAATTATAAAAGATGAGCCAACCAGGGTTGGATGGGCTCAGAAAAACCGGCCCTGGCAATTTTTTCATTCAGCCCTCGCATTTGTAATGCTATAAAAACTCCATTTAAAAAAATATTTAATACTTGGTAGAACCACCATTCTTCTCTATAATATTTTGTAATCTCCTAGGCATGGAACTAATTAAATTTTGCATATCGTAATTTTCTTCCAAATTGTTCCACTCATTTTGAATTGAAGACCTTGGTGCAAAAACCGGACAAGTCCATTTTTAAGATAAGCATACATGTTTTATTTTGTATTACTTAACATTGTAATTAACACATTTTTGCTTATCACAAAAATTTACTTGTCCGGTTTTTGCACCAAGGTATTCAATTGCATTAATAAGGTCTTCTCTATTTCTTGGTCTAAATTCATATTTATATATTTTTTTACGAGATATCCCCAAATATTTTCGATTGGGTTTAAATCGGGGCTTCTTGACGGCCAAGGAAGCGTTGTAATGTGATTTTCTTCTAGCCAATTATGAACCACATGAGCAGTGTGAACTGGCGTGTTGAAACACAAAATCATTATCAAATCTTTCTTGCACTGAGGGGAGCATTACATCGTTTAAAATTTCCACGTATCTGTTCCCAGTTAATCAGCCTTCTACAATATGAATTATACCAGCCCCTGAAGATGATATCCACGCCCACACGTGGACAGAAAATCTTTCGCTGTTGTCAGTTTTGTGGAGGTATTCTTTATCAAACTTATGGTTTCTGGAACGATAAACTCGCAGTTGCCCATTGTAGCAGGATTGAAATATTTTTTCATCTGAAAGACTACTCGTTCCCAATATTCAGCGTTTTGATTTAAAAAATTATTTGCAAACTCCACTCTTGCCTCTTTATTAACATCCGTCAAGCGAGGCTTTTTAGCACTCACGCAGTTAAATAAACCTTGTTCTCGCAACCATTTTCTTGCCGTCCTAACAGATGCTGGGAAGTTGGTTTCCTCTTTGAGTTAGAAAATGGGTTTTGCCTCACATATTCAACCCACTCGTTGTCGTTTACTGGAGTTGTCTTTCTTGGACGCCCAGAACCCATTACCCTACTCAGGTCACCAGTTTCCACCCACTTTTTGTTTAATTTTTGAATAGCGCTTTTGCTGCAGTTTATTTCATCTGCTATTTGTTGTTGAGACCATCCTTCTCCAATTTTGGCGATAATATAGCCTTTCCCTGCTTCACTTAAAGTATGGTAAGGCATAATTAAATAATGACTTTACCTAATTTAAGATTTACTTAATTTAATATGAAGTTACTTAATTTTATAAAATTATTTTTGAAATGTCACTGGTGACAACCATATTTACAACGGGAAAATTAGTCGATTACTTTTTATCGGCCGCAATAGTACATAAATAGGATAAAATATATATTTTTAAAAATTTGCAAAAACCGAGTTTTGCATCTAATGTACTCATATATGATATTAATATTCTATTTTATATAAGAATACACGCCGGTAAATGCATTGTAATAAACCCAACAAACCCAACACTTTCAACAAATATTTTTGAGTGTAACATTGTATGATTTCGAAATTCAATTAAAAAAATAGTGGAGACACCAGGTATCAATCCCAGTACCTCTCGCATGCCAAGCGAAGCGCCCTTCAATCTACTGCTTACTGCTTAGTGCACTAAGCTACAATGCCTAATATTAAAGGCGCTCATCGGAATATAGCTACCGATTTACAATGTGCGACGTCAAAATATGACCTCAGTCTAGATCAAACCACCTCGGACTGTAGACACAAAGTTATTTAATTTAATTTGTTTAAGTTAGTTAGGACATATAGTCACATTACCAATGATCCTATGTTAAAGTATTTGGTTAAAAAATATACGAATTAAATGTTTGCATCATTGGTGTTAGGGGGCGTCCATTAATTACGTGAGGTGCTTTTTTTCAATTTGGTGAGATTTTGGCCTCCCCTCATTTTTACCTCATGTAATTACAGACGCCTCCTTACAGACGTCTCCATCCGTATACGCATTTATTTTATTAATTTATGATCCTCTACAAGATCACCCTGATGCAGAAAATGCTGCTAGACTGTTATTCTTAAAATATGATTTGCCACTTATTAAATTATTCAGTTGTTTCATTTATTCTACTTTCAAAATTAATCTTTTTATATCATTTAATAAATACAATAAAATAAATCAATTCTACCCTTTCTAAACATCTGCATCCGCATCTGTTGATGTTGACTTTAAAAATAAACTGTAATATGCATATAAAACACACAATATCGCAAGTTTATTGAACAAAATAATGCTCATTTTTTAAATAAGGTCACCCAAACTACCCTAAGAAAAGTTGTTGGCTACTCTGCAGCAAAAACAATTTTGTTGTCAGCCTGTGTTATCCTATTAACTTAATGTTTATAATAACCGAGAGAGGTGTGATTGCTGCATATATCTGCTGGTTATTTAGTGTAGGGGAAATTTAATATTAATTAAAGCTTTTTACATACCCATTATTGTTATTTAGTATATTGAATACTGTTGGAATATTAATTTTATCTACTCCTATTGCATAATATTAGTTTTTTCCATAACTACCGTGCGATACTTTAACAGCAGATTCTACGTTGAAAAATAGGAAAAAAGTTTCTATAAACAGGTCAAGAAATTAAGAAAAATAAAATTTTGAGAATTGATTGCATAAGATGTCAACTGTCTGGAATAATTTTTCCTAAGCAAGGCAGCTGTGTTCCATGGTCCAAGCTGAATATTTTTCTCCAGTTTTGATTTTATTATGAATTTTTATGCCATGTAAGGTAATTTTCAAATCAATTTTAAGCGAAAAGGTAAAGGTAAATATTATTGAAGTTTAACAAAAGGACCTTTTTTGTGTGTAAACCTCAAAAATAAAATAATCTGAGATCAAATCCTGGGACAAGACAAAACAGTTATGGTGGTTTTACCCTCACTCCCTATTTATCTGACCCAACCCTCATGAAAAATTTGAAATTGTTATTGTTAGATCTTATTGGCCATAAAAAGTTTGATCAATTCCCAAATGTTCACGTTTCTATATTGAACTGTTTTGGAGATATTCAGTAAAAACCATCTTCAGGGGCTCCTCTTTCAGGGGCTTTAGCTCCCTTAGGAAGCATTTCTCAACCATGTTAATAGGATTTTTTTTCTTCTCATTTTTGTTTGTACAATCTGCTGTTAAAGTATTGCACGTTAATTATGGGACACCCTGTATAAACATTATAAATTCCCTGCATAACAACGGGAATAATTAACTCAATATTCGCGTTGTTAGGCATCAGTGATTGGCCGATTTCAATATTCACTTTGATTTGAACCAATCGGGTTTAAATTGGGAGAAGGCGACTATAATATTTAAAATTGATAAAAGGTTAGGTTAACCAATTGACAGATGTCAGATCTTATTTATTTATTTATTTTATAAAATCATTTAATTATATACTTATTGAATATCGAGTTTTCGCAACGCGCGCGCCATCTGGTGGACTTCGATAGCATTGCGTGACTTTAGGAATTGTCAACAATACATTTAAAGCAGATTATACATCATTTTTAAATAAATAGGTAGTTTTTTTTACAAAAGAGAGGAAGGCAGAAGTCTTACTCGATAAATTTTGTTCAATTGAACAGCTAAATCGGTCACGTTATTTGTTTTACGTTGCAAGGAAAAAATTAAAAAACTTTTTTAGTACTCGATTTCGATTGAATATTCCTTATATTATTGATTAAGAAACTCAACGCTTAAATGCTTATAGTTATGTTAGTGTGTGCATTTTATCTAAAGTCCATGTCTGACGGTGCAATTTCTCGCGGCGACTTTGTTGCTGCGACGACTAGTTGCAGCGACTTTCTCGCCTCTAGGGTGTTCACACGGTGCAACCAAACTGATGTTGTTTTCTACTAGGATTGCCAACATAAACGAAAATTACTTAGTTGAAAAATAAAAATACCTAAACAAATTTAATGTTTATTTAAATCGGTTTTGTTTTTCTTTTAAAGTTTCATCATAGCCATTATCGAATAAAATGGATTTAATATTATTAAGAGCTGCTCTTTTATTTTTTAATTTTTAACCCGGATCATTTGTAAAGTACAGATTCGGGTTTGTCTCGTAACCTAGAATTAATATTTTAGTGGATTCCCTATCCCACGTAAATCCCTGATAGCCTATTTGGTTCATTATCACAATTTGTAAATAAATAAAAACACTCAGATTAAAGCACACGCAAATCACATCTGCCATTCCACAGCTGATAAATATTGAGTACCAACCAAAAAATTTAGTGAAAATTCGTAAATCCCTAAAAAAGTTACTAAGTCGCGGCGATTTTATTGCATGAAAATAGAACATGTTCTATTTTAGGACAGGTTAGATCATCTGATCAGTTGCATCGTGTGACCACCAAAAAATCGCGGCGACCTAGTCGCAGCGAGAAGTTGCACCGTCAGACATGGACTTAAGAGATCATGGTTAATTATTGTGTTTTTAATTGTAAATAAAATCGTTGCATTTTCATGTTTTTTCAAAGGATCCAATTCAAGTACATTTGTTGGTGCAGAATTAACTAATGATAACTTTACCTAATATAATTTATATTTAAGTTTAGACATTTTTAAGAAATAAGTAAAACATAATTTTTGCACAAACATAACCTTAAAATCAACCATTTTTATATTTGAGTTCTCTAAAAAACGCCGACAACTGCATTTTAAACAACAAAATATACCTACGAATTCATGGCAACATAATATTATATATATTACATAATATAAAGGTATTTTACCGCTGAGTGCAGATTTTCTTAATAAACGCTTTTAATAATGCTAAATGCCGTTTAAATTTAGACGACTTATTTGTTTGAAGATTTTTACTGCATTGAATTGTTTACACTTTTCACGTTAATCACTACTAAAATGTGTATTTATTGTATGTAATAGGTACAATTTATATTTACAGAGACTGTATACAATTTATTTCTTCATTCGATTAACACTATTTATTGGAAAACCGGTAAAAACTCAACACAGGATTTCCTCTCGAAATACACCCAACAACACAAGAAATCGAGCCACGGTTTTTTTTTTCGATATTTTTTAACATTTTCCGGCTTTATTCTCAAAAATACTCGTTTGTAGCATAAGCGATTATTAAAAGTCGTACTTTTGTTACGATGATAACAGCCGAGTGGTGGCGCTACTAGCGATATTTCTTTAGGGTATAGTATTACACTCGAGATCATGCGCATTTTCCCTTAAATAATAATATACTATTATTTAAAATAATATTATCTCCTACCTTATCTTTGTAACGCATTTTCATAGCCAAATGTAGGTCTCTAAACCTGCTATATCTTCTTAATATTGTCCATCTATCATCCACAGTGCATATTCTTAGTTCATATTCGTAGTGAGTTTTTGCGCCTGCGCCTCTAATACAGTAACCTACTATACCAACGATCGAGTCCGAATCAGTGTCTGAAAATTGAAACCAAAAATGTTGTCTTAAAGAATGCTCATGTAGTAGACAATGTCTACTATCATAGTATGTCTACTAGACATACTATGATAGGTTGCGTAAGTTTGTGTTTATTCTACTACTACTTATTTAATATTTAAAGTGAAGAATCGGTAAAATTATTTTGAGGCAATTAGCTATTTTTAAAGAAAAGTATAAAACGACCCAGTACCAACATACTTTAAATTGCTTTGGTGTGTTATATGTTCTAGGTACATACTCACCAGTGGTTATGGAGGGCATAGATCTGTACATGCTCTGTCCATACAGAGACAGTCTGTGGTTTTGAAGCTAAAATTAGAAGAAATAATTGTAAAATTGTATAACTTGGGTTAATGATTTTTATTTACCTGTAATGGAGGTGAGTATAAGGCAGAAGTGGACCCTGTATGTAGGGGTTTTAAAGGACTAGGACTACTATCAATATCTTGTAAAGGATGTTCTGAAGCAGGTGATAAAACACAGTTGGAACCAAATTTAACCGACATATATTGTCTTTGTAACTCTTGGAGAATCTAAAAAGACTCTATTTAGACTTCCAAAGCAAAATATTTCTAAAAATAGGATTTTTTACCTCAATTTGCGAATCCAAATACGCCTTGGGACAATTGCTATCCAAGTTTTTCACTATCAATTGCTTTTGCTGCGTAATACGTTGTGCAATCCTGCGCAGTATTTCCTGATTAGGTCTTTTTTTTAGATGTATAGGAGACTGATTTTCCACCGAACTGGTCGATTGAGAATCACTGACAACCTTAGCAAAACAAAACAAATGTGAACTTACGAAAGTGTCGTCAAAGATTGCGCATGCTAGGCTGCGTACTCTTAAGAACCTACACTATACATCTTTATTTTAATATTTAATCATTGTTTTACTTACTTTGCAATCCTCGTTGCTAGACAAATCGCTATCGTCCTGTAATTTCGAGCCTGTTTTCAGTTCTACGCCGCTATCGCTCATGAGACATTCTGGGGGGTTTAGTTGGTGGTTGGTATTATTGTCAGTTTCGCAACTGCTGGGCGCAGTGTGATACGTATCGCTGCTCAGAGTAGCCTTTTCGACGCTACTGGTGTAATTCACCTCACAAGAGTCGGCACTCTCCACCGAGTTGATTCGTTTTAGGTTCAACGTCAAACTAAGAAAATACTTTAATATTTTGTGGACCAATATAAAAATAATTTCTCACCTTTGTTTTCTTTCTTCAATTTTCATCAATTCTTCTTTAGTTCTGGATGCCAAAACTTTCTTTAAATTCACCAATTGTTCATCTTTTGGGTCTGCATTTAAACATAATTGTTCATCAACAAGTTCTACCAATTTTTTGTCTAATCTTTCAATTGTTTTTTGTCTTTCTGCTAATGTAGCAACTCTTTGGTTTAGTTCTGCTTGAAGCTCTGCCAATTCACGTCTCTAAAAATGTTTTTGTAATTTTGTATTTCAAAAGTTAATTTTAATGCTTACATGTTGGTTTACTATGTCTTGAATTCCTGGAGAACCCTTAATTTTACTTAAAATGTCAACCAAACAACCTGATTCAGAATCGGAGAGTTTAGAATATTGAGATTTTGCCACCAATTCCTAAAAGAAAATCGCAAAAACCCTATTTTTATCAACATTCCAACATGAATAAATAATATTAATAATTTTTTTATTGCCACTATAATTGAATCGGTGAGAATAAGAAAAGTCCAAAAGTTAAAATTTTGACAAATTATTTCATAAAATCACTTTTATAGTTCAAAATGCATTTTTGTGGGAATATTTCAACTATTTTATTAAATATAATAACTTTATTTTGTAAAATAATATATATATTCCCTAGACTGGGCCAAAAAAATCAACTATTTTTTTTTTTGAAAAGTATATCGAAAATATGGTCTGGGGTGACAAAAAAAAATTATTGTGAATTTTTTTTTCCTCAGCAAGTTTTAGGCTCAGAACTACCAAACCATTGAGTTGACCTGAAAATATTTTTTTAAGAAAATTAAATGCTCTACAAAAAAGGTTAAAATGAAATTTTCCGTCAGATGAACCGTTTCCTTAAAATCATGCCTTAAAAATTGGTATAGTTTTACATTTTGATCTTTTAAATTGGAATTTTGTAATTCATGTAAAATTTTGTAATTCATAAAAAAACGATAAATTTTCTTATGGGAAATCAAATGCTTTACAAAAAAAGCCTCCTAACATTTTTGGCTAAATTCACTCAATCAAAAGTTATTCAAGGTTAAAATTTCGTTTTGACTTAAAATTTAACCTTGAATAACTTTTGATGGAGTGAATTTAGCCAAAAATGATAAAAGACTTTTTTTGTAGAGCATTTGATTTCCCATAAGAATATTTATCGTTTTTTTTTTCAGGGTACTGATTTTTACTGGAATTACAAAATTCCAAAGTTAAAAGATCAAATTGTAAAACAATACCAATTTTTAAGGCATGATTGTAAGAAAAGGGTTGATCTGACGGGAAATTCCAATCAAACCTTTTTTGTAGAGCATTCAATTTTCTTCAAAAAATTTTCTTAAGTCAATTTTGTTAAACTCAATGATTTGGGAGTTCTGAGACAAAAACTCGCTCAGGAAAAAAAATCTAAAATTGCAATGATAGACCTCTTAATATTAATATTATGGACTCAAACTTTCACCATAATTTTTTTTGTCACCCCAAACAATATTTTCGATATACTTTCCAAAAAAAAATAGTCGATTTTTTTGGCCCAGTCTAATATTCCCCCAAAAATGCATTTTAAACTTTTAAATTGATTTTAGAAAATGATTTGTCAAAATAAAAATACTGTTTTTAATCTCATTGATTTAATTATAATAGTTGTTAGTACCAGTGTTACCACTATAGTGTTGTAAGCATTTACCCCAAATTTTGAAAAATTTTAGCCTAAATTACCGTAAATACTGTTATGGTTCCATAATTTTATACGTGTTACATTTATTTAATTTAAAGTAAAATTGGTATTTTCTAGTGTATATATATATAGTGGTGTTAAAGGCAAAAATCTTTGCGAACCGAGGTAATAGGGACAAGTTAATAAATTATTAGTAACTTTTACTACTATTTTTACAAAATGTTTCTTTTCTTTTAAGTTTACTGTTGAATGTAATAATTTGTTTGATTCCCTTTTTGTATTATTTATAACTTAATCTAGTTGCTCAATGTCCCTTTAATTAAATGTTTAGACCTTTCCTAGCACGATTATGCATTTTTTGTGGTCATTTTTTAAACCAAATATTAATGTGATACGGCAGGGTTCGTTGCTCACCGTTAACGTGTTAACGCTACACTTTGAATACTCTTTTTTGTAGTGTATGGGATTCTCCAACCGTGAGGGGGAAGCAATTGTCTAGGTTCCCTATTCAATTATTTTTACCTTGATTTTACCCTAAAATTATCACCGCCCTGAAATATACCCTAAATCATTAAAATTATCCTAGATAAGGGTAATTACCCTAGAAGCGGCAACACTGGTTAGTACTCAAAAAAATTAAGTGCATTTGGTTAGTAAAATTGTTTAACAAAAAAAAACTGAATACCTGAAATAAAGTTTTACTTTGGCTATCAGCAAATGTGAAATCATTAGCTTGGGAAACAACAAAATTACAAATGTTGTACAATTTGTGTACCGCCTCTGATTTAAGAACTTTTAGTGATTCACATTCTTGGTTTATCTAAGTAAAAAATAAAACGAAAAAATAATAAAATAAAAATATTCTGGATTTTTATCTTACTTCTCCCATGATTTTTTGGCGTTCTTTTTCCAATTCTTCTCTTTGCAAAACTAGCTCTAATTCTTTTTGTTTTAATTTATTTTCTTTTTCTCTTTGCTGATCTGTAAGATTATTCCAATCATCCTTCAATTTTTGTGTCTAAAAATATTTTTTGTTAAAGCGTTAAAAAATGTTTGGATCTTTTTTTTTACTTGTTCAGCGTGTTCTTTTTTAACCATCAGTTTTTCTGCACCCAATTTTGCTTGGGCTAGCTCTAAGGTTCTTCGCCTTTTCTCAAAAGCCTCCTGTTTTTTCTCAAAAGCTTCTTGTTCTTTTTCAAAAAGTTCCTTTTCTTTTTCCAAGGTTTGTCTTTGCAACTCGATGTCTGATTTTTCGTCGTCACTAAAACAAAACAATGTAAAAAATTAATACATTTTTTGTTTGCAAGATGTTATACTAACATTAAATTTTCCATAGAAACAGCCAGGTCTGGAGTGGACCAACTAAGTAAGCTCAATCTTGATAAATTAAAGGATTTTTCACCTCTTCTAAGCTCAGCTGCTTCAGCTGGGTCGTTAAATCTAAAAAATATTGTTTATAAAAAAATTGCTAAATATAAAATTATTTTACCTAAAAACATGTGTTTTTCCCAAAAATATAATACAACCCTGCGACAATTTCGTTGGCGATTCGATTACAGTGTTGTAAAGCATAACGTGAGCACCTTGTTGCGGAATCAACGTGGCAACACCGTTCTCGAAAGTAATAGTGCAATGATGGGCTTCCATACCGGCACCCTTGAGCTCTATGTCTGGTTTTATATCCGAATCTTCTGTACCAATCGTCGTTTGACCCTCCTTAACACGAAAATAAGTTAGAGCCGGCTCTTTCTACTAGATACCTTGGTTTTATGTTTTAAAACAATCTGTGAAGATCTGTGCTGGATACTTTAGTACCAAAGGCATAAAACCTTTGTCTTAGCACAAAACAGTATACCCTAAAGAAGCATCGGGTTTTCGCAACGCGCGGGCCATCTGGTGGTGTTCGAAAGCATTGTGTGAATTCAAGAATTCTCAACAATACATTCAAAGCATACGAACTAAACATAATTTTTAAAAAATAAGTGTTTTTTTTACAAAAGAGACGAAGGCAGAAGTCTTACTCGACAAATTTTGTTCAATTACACAGCTTTTGCGTTGGAAGTAAAAACGAAAAAAATTTGGTTTAGTACTCCATTTCAATTTATTTTCCTTGTATCATTGATTAAGAAACTCAACGCTTATATGCATATATTAGTTAGTGTGTGTATTTTATCCAAGTGATCATGGTGAATTGTTGTGTTTTTAATTTAAATAAAATTCAAAAACTAAATCGTTGCATTTTCATGTTTTGGATCTAATTCGGTACATATATGCAGAATTAACTAATGATAACTTTATCTAATTTAATTTATATTTAAGTTTGAACATTTTTAAGAAATCTAACAAATAATTGTCGTACAAACGTAACTTTAAAATCGAATATTTTTATATTTGAGTCCTCTAAAAAAACCGACAACTGCATTTTAAACGACAACATATACCTACGAATTCATGGCAACATAATATTATATATAATACATAATATAATACCGGTTATTGGTATTTTACTGTTGGAGAGTGGAGACTTTCTTAATCTATGCTTTTAATAATGCTAAATGCTGTTTGAATTTAGACGACTTATTTGTTTTATGATTTTTACTGAATTGAAAATGTTTACAATTTTCACGTAAAACATTAATAAAATGTTTATTTATTTTATCTAATGGTACAATTTATATTTACAGGGACTGTAAGCAATTTATTTCTTTATTCGGATTTCCACTGCAGGGTTGCCACCGATTTGTCTAAACCAAATTCCCTGACTTTTCCAGGAATTCCCTGACCTTCCCTGATATTTTTCCAGACAAAATGTATTTTCTTTTTGGTTTCCTGACCCTCAATGATTTTTTTAACTGGACTTTGAGTGTTGGTTTTTTAAATTTTAAGTATTGGGCCATTTAATTATTACTTAAGCAGTAATTTTGTAATTTTTAACCACCCTTTTTCTTTGTCAGCAAATGTATGTTAAGCTTATCATTAAAAATATACAAAAAAAATTAAAGCAATCAAGACTCCCCCCTTTGGTGCTTATGTAATACTTAAATTTATTTTTCTCTTGGTGGAGAATTATAACGATTAATTAAAAAACTGAAGCTTATAAAATTCAAAAACATTAACAAAAAATCAATACTTTTTATTAAAAAAAAACAAACAAAAAATTTTCTGTAGCTAATTTTTTCGGGATAATTTTTAACTTAAGTTTTTGTTTCTTGGGTTTTTATTACATTAATTTTCTGTTCAATCTGAAAATAACAGAAATAATGAAATTTTTAAAAATGCCTCTGAAATTTTGTCTGCAGCAGGTCTTATCAGTAAATATTTGATAGTACAAAAAAAAAGATTTTATTTCTTCTATCATTTTTTGCAGGAGTTTTTATTGAAGAAATTGATTTATTCTGGTTATTTTCTAAAGCAATATTATTATAAATATTATTATCCTGTAAAACTGTAACTTTTTCAAGCATCTAAAAAAGAATTAGTCAAAATGACATATTTCATAGTGAAAAAGCATGCATATGTCAGTTTTGACTAATTCACTGCTTTCACTAATAACTGTAGTCCACAGCAATTTGTATCCAGCCAATTATTATGTAAAATTGTCCCCTGAATCCGAAAAGACCGTCATAACAGTTTTTGAGATATAGTCCATATATATATGGAAAATTATATTATTATTATTCCATATAATATTATTATTATTCCATATTATATGGAAAATTTAATAAATCTTAAAAACTGTCCTACTTTTATAACTTTTGACGACATATTCGGATTCAGCAGACAATTTTACATAGGAATTGACTGCTAAATATCCGGGATACAAATTGCTGTTGACTAGAATTATTAGTGGCTGCTTTTTCGCTATGACAATTAGTCATTTTTAACTAATTCATTTTTAGAGAGTAGTATTTTTCATCTAGTTCTTTTTTTAAATTGGACAAATTTGTGTTCTTCGTTTTTTTAATGGCCCGCACTTTTTATGTGGCCTATGACTGCTTGCAAATAAAACATTTGGCTTGAAACGGTTTTTTATCAACAGGAACTGATTTTTGAAAGTCTTTTACTGATTAATTAATTAATTTATTAATTATGCTTTTACTGATTAATTAATTAGTTTATTAATTATGCTTACCATTTACAAAATAAATAAATATTAATCCCCCTAAACATAAAAATAGTTGGTTATAGTCTTAGAAGGTTGTAGTGATAAGTTTGACATATAGCGCTGCCATATTTTAAATAAATTAAATTTAACGTTAACATATTTTTTTTTTAATGAAAGCTTTATAAATAACCAATTCCCTGACCGACTTAGGAATTCCCTGACTTTGTAGATTTTTTTGCCAATTCCCTGACATTTCTAAAAAATTTAAATTCCCTGACATTTCCAGGTTTTCCAGATGAGTGGCAACCCTGCACTGTTTATTGGGAAACCGGATAAAACTCAAACCAGGATTTCCTCTCGAAAAACACCTAACAACATTTTTCGGCTTTATCCTGAAAAACACGCGTTTGACAGCTGCTTATTGAAAGCTGAATTCTGGTTACAATGATAACGGTGGCGCTACTAGCGATGCTTCTTTGGCGTAAAGGTCGTTTCTAAAACCAAGGTGTCTGTTGAGAGAGGTTATTTTTTACCTTCAAATGATACAAAGTGACGCCGGTACTCAAAGGATCGTCGTCGATGGCAACCAAATGCGGCCTATCAGAATCGAGAACGACTCCGTGTCCCGATTTGCGCAGTCCAAGTGCGCGTTGTTCGCGCAGTATAGCCTGCGCTTCGCGCCATTTTCCCGCCCATTCTTCTGTCAGTTCCTGAGAAAAAATAAGTAAGAATCTACTAAACCCCGGCGGTATATTAATAAATTGTTATTATACCGCCGCGGAAATGATTTGATATTTACCAAACACAAACAAGTGTAAGTAATAAAATGTGTATTTATTTATAAAAAACAATTTTTTTGTGCCAAACTGTATTATTTCAAAATGTAAATTGATAAAAAATATAAAAAAAGTTGTGGAGGCGTCAAGTATCGATCCCGGTACCTCTCAACCCAACCCATCTGAGCTACTTAAAACCTTGTTTTGTTTATTATAAAAATGCTCAGTCATTAATTGCAATTGTAATTAATATAAGTTTGTACACTTTCAAAAAATAAATTTGAATACAAGTTTTAGGTTAAGTATACTTTGTTATAAAATTATTACGGTGGAAAATACAAAAACTGAGATATGTTTGCCACTGCATACTAACTGGGGTCTAAAAGGTTTTTTGTACAAAATAATGGATTTTTCTTACTTTTTCCCGAGCTTCCTTTTCGTGCAATGTTGCCAACATGTCGGTGCGTTGCTCGCTAAACATGAGCGCCTTCAATTTACTAATTTCATCGCGTAGTTCCCTGATTAATTTGACATTAGAATCTTCGTTAACAGTCGGTTTATTTATAATGTTTTTGGCTCTATTAGCATACCGTAGAGTGCTTAGAGTCTCTCCATAATTGCAATCTAAAAAAAATGTTGAAAAATAGGATTTTTTGCTTGCGTATAATAAAATATTTTTCATTATACCATTTTGAAAACATTTGTTAAGCCCGTATTACAGTCTGCAATTACTTGCAGCAATCTTTTTTGCATGCAAGTTTTATTGCTAAATGTAAAACACTTCGCAATTTCAACCGAACTGGCAATAAAAATCGAGCAGGACCGATAATTTGAAACGGCAATAAACTTGCAACGTCGCTGTGCATGCCTTCGTGCAAGATTATTGCACGTAGAACTGCAGACTGTAATACGGGTTTAGGAGCAACGTTGCCATACATGTTGTTATGGCAACGTTAAACTCGGTTCAGATCATGTCAGCAAATATATATATATATATATATATATATATATATATATATAAATAATAATAAATAAATAAAGTTTTTATTGCATATTCAGTACAATACAGAACATATAATACAAAATATACAAAAGGCCATCGACCGGGGTCCTTCAGCCTATATATATATTTGTCAGTTATCCCTAACATTTCTTATTAAAAAAATAATAAATTGAGACAACTAATATAAAACTAGATCCATAAATAAGAACTTAAATTAAATGTAAAAATATTTTTAATGTCTTATAATTAAGGTTGAAAGTTTGCACTCTATAACCCCATGTCCCCATCATATTGCAAAAGTGAAAACTTTGATATATTTCATAGGTTATGTATGAAACAGAATTCTAAAACTTAAAATAAAATAACAAACAAGTAGCTCCTCAGTACTAATAAAGAATGTGATAAAATGCGTGATCAAACCTTGTCCTAATCTAATGTAATGTCTACTTTGTCCCAAACGGCATGGATAAAAACAGCTTTGTTATAAAATACTCTGGAGTTAAGCATTACGTATAAAATAACTCTGAAACCCATATAGTTCATAACTGTGGCACGAGATGGCGCCGCTGCAGGCAATGGTCACATACTTCCACACAAGTATGTGGCAATGGTACGCTATTGTTATTCTGCGCGTTACAAACAGCGTGTGTTTTTTAAGGTTATCTTTCATCACGGAATTAACTCGGTAAGAATTTGCAATATTTAATTTTCTTTTTTATGTAAAGTAAACCAATCATTTCTTTTTCATTAATGCAATGTTTTATGTGCTTTTATTAGGTGCTTTCCTTTTGCAAGTGATGTGAGGTAAAATGAGGTTCGGATCTCACCTCACCTCACAACGGAGCACATTCGTAAAAGGAACGGCAAGTGAGGTGATTTAGCTACTTTGTCTGTCATTAGTAAATTGGCCTTTCAGAATGGCTGCTTATAAATTTATAACGGTAAGCTGGTTGATTTGATTTGTTGATTTCACAATAGCGTAAACCATATTGTAATAACAACGAATAAGATAACTTATAACTTATTAATTAATTATAACAACTACCAAAAAAGTGCCAAACAACGAACAAAACCACAGAAAAATCTTATAAAACAAATACATAACCTAAAAACGCTGTCAAATATTCCCCTTCCATCTATTCATGCATCTAGGTCCAATCTCCTCACTATTGCTGGACCCCACTGGGTTGTGCAGCATCGGTAAGGGGGGGAAGTAAGAATCTCACTTCACTTCAGTCAGCTGATTGTAAATAGAACGCGTTCATAAGTGAGGTGAGGTGAGTTTATCTGAGAATTGGTGCAAAAGGAAAGCACCTATTGTGTCTTTTGTCACACTGTACTACTATGGCTACGACATTAAAACTTAAAAATAAGAGACTCTTTAAGCAAAACTTTACTGCTGAGAGTAACATTAGAATTACCTTTAGTTTGACTAAATAATAGTCACAATGGATATAAAAATGTGAAATATTTAATTTTTAGAGGTAGATGGGGCTAAAAAGTATAATGACCCATATAATACTTGTGTATGATAAAAAATAATTATAATATTCAGACGGAGGTGGAAAACGGTTTAAAAGTTTAAAGTTACTTTGTGTATACAGAAAAATATTTTGTGCACAACCAAGTTCCAAATATCAATATTAAGTCAAAAGTAACTATTTTTCATTCGTATTATGAAACTTTTGGTGTGTATTTTAAGCACTTTTCATGCATATTTTAAGCTTTTTCTGTTGCATATAATCCGGGCTCCAATTATTTAAAACTTAAGCATACATGTCATAAATATATATATATATATATATATATATATATATATATATAGATTGATAAAGGGTACAATGTCACCTCCAAAACGGAGACCCTTCATACGTTGTGACCTCATATATGACGCTGTGACCTCCAAATTCGGAGGTCACAGTGTTTAACCATATTTTTGACATTGGGGGAGTGTCAGTAATCAATCTGTGCAAAAATATTTCGGAGGTCACTTTGACCCCCCAGTCTCTTAAAAAGGAACTTTTAGTTCCACCATATATGAATTGGCGCTAGTGTCGCTTTTTAATCAGATTCAGCCACACCAAAGTTACCTCCGTCATGTATACGTACATTTGTTACCTCCGAAATTTGGCAACCTTGCAATATCTCGCGCAGTCATAGATGTTCAGACTTGATGATCTTTAATACTTCTTATATGTTATTTGTTACGCAGTTACGCGGTTTGACTTTTGTTCTAACATCTTAAGTGTAAAATAACGATTTAAGTTAAAAATATATCTTCCAGGACGTAATTAATAATCCAGAGACGTACATAATTAGGTAAATGCATTATGTTTATAGAAATGGATATTGTAAAATAATTCTTTTAGATTTAGACGATACTAGTAATGATGAAATCATTACCAAAAAAGATAAAGAATTTAAACAAAAAAAGTACAAAATGATTTTAACACATAAAATGTGTTTAAACAATATTTTTTACTCACACAATCTTTTTTTACTTTTATTTGTTTAAAAATGTGTTATTATTTTTAGGCTGCACCAATATAGAAATCGGGTTAATAAAGGATAAATTCCTTAACCATATTAAAAAAATATTTATTCATCTAGCAAAGAAATTAAATCTTTTCTAGAACAAACGAAAATAAAAAGAAGTGTATCCCTTATTAAAGCCAAAGTCCAACACCTTAAGAAAAACGAAAAAAAAACATTAATTAGTTACCCTTATGATAATTATAATTATAATAATTATTATTCATAACTATTTTAATAGATAAAAATGTTTTACTTTACTTATGTTTTTTAGTTATCCCTATTTATTGTTTACTTAAATTTCTTTCTTATATTTTTATTAATATAATAATAAAAATATCAAAAATATTAAAAATAAAAATATTAGAAATAAAGAAATAATTAAAAAAGTAAAATTGACAAAATAATAAAAAAGTATACTAATAAATATATTAAAAATGATTGGGTATAATAATTATTAGAAAAATTATTAAAAATAATTAAAAAAGTAAAATTGATAAAAATAATAAAAAAGTATACTAATAAATATATTCAAAATGATTGGGTATAATAATTATTGGAAAAATTATTAAAAATAATATAATAAGATTAATTTTTTAAAATTATAAATAAAAATAATATGAATAAAACAATTAAAATAATACAATAAAACTAAATAAAAATAAATAAATAATGAAGATTGTAAAAGAAATATAAATAATTGAAGTAGATACCTACGTAATAAAAATATTAACAAAAAAAATAATTATAAATTATATAAATATAAAATATAAATTAGAAAAAATAAAAATAATACAAAAATACAATTGAAATATTAAAAATAATAATATCTACTAATAAATATTAAAATAACAAAACTTATTGATAATAATAATATTAATAATTCTTTCAAAAGTCAATCGGTTTGAAAAGTTTTTAAAAAACTACTTGCAAGCAAAACAGTACATATACAATGTGACCCATTTTTTTTTACAACTCACCCCTGTAAAATCATTAATTATTGTGCGATTTTAACCGGATTTGTTTTATGGAGTAGATCTTGATAAACTGTATATTTGGAGCAAAAAACGCCATATTTGTACAAAATGCAAGGCCTACTATGTCAGTTTTTAAGAGTAATTTTTTAAGAATTCATACCTATTAGCGATTTTTTTAAACAAAATCTAAGCACGGCACTGGATTCACCACCCCCTCAAAACGACCCTTTACTAAACTTTATTAAAAAAATTTAAGTAGAAAAATGCACAATAAGTACAAAAATTTATCGTCGTTATCCATGAAAAAAACATTGAAATAAAATTAAACTTATAATAAGTATACCATGTTATACTATTAGTTTAATTTTATTTCAATGTTTCTTTCATGTATAACTTGACAAAATAATTTTTTGTAGTTATTATTTTTCTATATTTTTCTATTTACATTTTTAATATAATTTAGTATAAGGTCATTTTGAGGGGTGGTGAATCCAGTGCCGTGCTTAGATTTTGTTTTAAAAAAATCGCTAATATGAATTCTTAAAAATTAACTCTTAAAAACTGACATAGTAGGCCTTGTATTTAGTAAAAATATGGCGTTTTTGCAAAAATACAGTTTATCGAGATTTTACCTTTAAAACAAATCTGGTAAAAATCGCACGATAAATAAAGATTTTACAGGGGTTATGTAATAAAACATTTTTTTGCCATTATACCTGCAAGACCTATCATATACCAATACGTTCTTTTTTAAATCAAATAAATTATTTATTTCAAAGTACTCCATTTATATTATTTTTAATATTTTGTCTTTTATAACAAAAATAATAATAATTATTATTATTACTAAATAATGTATGGCACATATAGCACGAAGCAGTGGACAAAATAAATCTGATATATATCCCAGATACTAAAGATACGTTGCGACCTCCGAAAATCCGGCAACACTGTCGGAGGATACAAGGCTGTTTGTTTCTCCGAAATTATATATATATTCGGAGGTGACTTTGTATCTTGAGTATCTCCAGTTTGCGTAAAAAAATTGACATTTTAAAAAATTAAAAATTGCTTCCCCTCTTGTGGTGGCGTTAATATTTAAGGCTCCCCCC